CTTATACAAGATGCGACATCACTTCGCCTGTTCGCCTTAATAGAACAACGGCATCACGTCGAAACGCGTGAAAGGAGTCCTCCGGATTCACTCCCGTGGCGTGCCTGGTGCGAGACGAGTTTCTTTTGCTTCTTCCCTTGCCAGCCATGACCGCCCTAATCGATGAGTGGAGGGGGTTGCGGTTGGACTTTGGTTGGCCGCTCGGTTAACCGGTCCTTCATCTGAGAAGGGAATATTTTCGCTTGCGGGCCCGCCGTCCGCTTTCAAGGTGGTCGGTCGGCAATGTGAGCAGCTCGAAGACGGCGGGTGCTCGGATGGTTGGTTGCTCACCCGACTTCTCGCCTGGCCCCCGCTATATGAGGTCTTAGACAAAACCAAAGCCCGGGGTGAACGGGGTTGGGCTGGCTGTTCGCGGGAACCAGCCAGACGGTCGAACGAACGACCGACCGACTGGCTGGCGGACAGGAGTAAAGAGCCATGGAGTGAGAGCGGAAAAAGTGTCGCCCATCAGAAGTGAAGTCACGTTTTAAGAATAAATCTTTGTTTTTCTCTCCTTCGTTTTTCTGCGGCTCTTTCTCCGAGAAGAGCCGCAGGGAACAACGAGCAGCTCCTGGGATCAGGGTGGGAAAAGCCGCGACTTATCCTCCTACTGTTGGCTGTGGTACTCTTGGTCGAGCCGACCCGGCCCGCGAGAACGGAACCAACCGACGAAGCAACCAGGCAGGCAGGCAGGCAGTCAGTCAGTCAGTCATCCTCCCGACCATGTAGCCGCCGACGGCGAACAGGGAAAAAAGCCCCGGAAAACCTTGAACGAGGCCTGTTCTAGCTTAAGGAGACGAGCTAGCCACTCATGCTGATGCTCTGAGCTTCTTCCCCACTCATAGGAGGAGTTCCTTCTTCGACAGCAAAGCAGCTTAGCGGAGAAGGCCGCAGAATTCAAAAAAGAGTCTTTCAGCGCTTTCCCGTCAGTAGTTCTCTCGTTCCCCGTCCGATTCGGCCTGCTATCATCACAAAAAGCGCGATGCAAACTTTGCACAGCCTCACGCGGCAAAGGAAGCTGGATGACCGGCGTTCGTCTCCCTCGCAAAGATCTCGGTGGAGGAGCGATGGCCTGTAGCGAATTCCCGCAAACGTCGGAAATCGCATTCCGAGAAATGTCTCCCCTCTCTTCATCGTTTTAGCTCCTGATGTCCCGAATCCCGGATTCCTCATCCGGAGCGAAGTGCTATGTCATGCTGTCATCGACCCTAAATGAATGGCGCCGTACCGACGACGCGAACGCCGTCAGTCAGTCAGCCGGCCAGCCAACCAGTCACTCAGTCAGTCGCAATACATTGTGAGGGGGAGTTGAGCACACAAGTTTGTGTGTATTCGAGCAGTGTATTCGATATCGGCTGACCGGTGCCTAACATGAGTCATTACTTAGATAGAGACGACACAAACTTAATGGCTCGCTCAGAAGAACGATCTCTTGTCTCGCGCAGTGATTCCCTGTCGAAGTAAGACTGACTGAGAGTAATCTTATCTTTCGCGTATTCCTCGATTCCTCGGGCAGAGGGTCTTCCGCTCTATTCCCTCGCTAACTCCTGCCAGCGCTTGGGGAACAACAGGCGCTCGGTTCATTCGATCGGGGTGATCGAACTGCTTCTCAGATGTCCAGATATGAATATGGTCGCTGATGTGTCGAGTCGGAGAACTGCGGATCCGCCGACAGCGAAGCGACGGGAACGAGCGAGGGGAATCCGCAGCTCCAACGTGTGCGGGAGAAAGCCGCTCGCAGTTTAAGTATGGAGCTTCCAGAGGAAGCGAGCCTGTGTGACCTGAAGGCCTCTGCCCTATTTGTGTTCAGAGGTCCATCGTTCGCTCTCGCTGATGCCGCACTGTACCTTGCCGAGTCGGTAGGCTGACCGCGACACTCGTCATTGTCGCCGGGTCGTAGGTGCCCAGAAGACAATGTCAACAACCCCGCGAACCGAGCCCGCTCTCGGAAAGGGGGTCTCTCAGACACGGATAACGCCATGAATGTGGAAAATAAACAGATTAGAGCGCTCCTGGCAGAGATGTCCGATTGCATCGATCATCGAGTAAGACAAGTCAGAATCGACGAGGCTTGAGCTCCATTGAATTTTTCTCAGAAGAGTCACACCGGAGGGCTCCAACTCCTCATCCCAAATGAGACTCAGAAGTATTCATAGCGGTAATTCGGTGCAATCAATGGATATCCTTGCTCTGAAGCGAGACTGCTTGTGAGTGACACCGGATGGTACTCATTCGGACGACCTCCTGTCAAGCATGAGTCTCCATCTTCCAGATGACACAGAGCTTCAGGAGAGCGAGACCACCCGTTCGACATGCCGCCTGTAGTATGTTCGGTATGTTCCTTGGGATGTATCGATCCCTCAGACTATAGCATAGCCGGAAGCCGCTCTCGCTCGAGACGGAGAAGCTATTCCCTTCTCCGAGGGCTGATGGCATCTATTCGGTGTGACGCATCCCGCGGGAGGTTCCCCCTTGATCTTTTCTTCGCGTTCCTAGTTTTCCAGATGCGAGGAACAACAATTTTGACATGACCGCGCACCCGTGATGCGGGACGCGTCCCGCTCGGGAATCGTTGTCGCTCAGTTTGGGAAAAAAATCTTTTCCCCTTCGATGTGAGATGCCGCACGCACTCTCACAGTCAGAAACTAGTGGTTCGCCTTGCGCCGATGCGGAATCCTCGCCGGCGCGAGTGAAGGCATATACTCCGATACCGCCGCCAATGAGCTTCTGATGTGCCCGTTAGGCGTAGATTTCCTTCCATACAAGGTCTATTTACTGTCAAACCTACACACCTTTTCGCAAAGAGCTCTTCCGCGGTTCAGCTGCGATGAGCGTCGTTCCATACACTAGTAGAATTAATCCAAACAGAAGCCGCATTTTATTCGATACGTGTTCACTGCAACACCCGTGCCGCGGGGTGAGCATCCAGCATTTTACTCCAACATGTCAGTGTTCAATATTGATGAACCACCATTCCTCAGAATAAAACACTATATTCCTCACGAACTTCATTCACTAATTCAGCTGTAGACATTGAAGGACTCGGGTTCCCCGCTACGAAGCTCCAAATCGACGAGGAACATGCTCAGCCGTCGGCGGCCTCCACTTGGAATTGTACAGGCTCAACAGACTGCTGAGGGCTCAGGCCGAACTCTGGGCCGATCTCTGGGCCCTAAGGAGAGCAGCTCTTGTCCTCTAGGAGCACATGGTCCCCTTCCTCCTTCGCGGCCCTTTCTCAGTTAGCAAGCGACGACGGTCGCGCCACCTGCCTACGGGACTGCTCGTAATGCAAATCTTCCCCGTTGTCCGACGAGCGTTCTGATCCGCTGAATTTACATAATACAACGTTCCAAGAGGACAATCGATCCATTTATTTTTTTTCCAGTTTGGTTTTGAGGGAAGTTTCGTCGCCTGGAAAACGGATGCGTATCTCTGTAGTCGAATATTTCCGCAGTAGAAATTACTCGGTACTTGGACTTGGTTCTACCGAGCCGCGGCTCACGGATTCGAAAATGAAACGACAAAATTAATTTTCCGTCTGTTGGATGGCCGGGATTGTCTAGCAGGGAATATCGGAATCACCTCTAGGGGGAGCTGATGCGTGTTTGGGAAGGACGGGGATCGAGACAGGAGAATACAATCAGAGTACAGTTGCTCACAGCGACCAATTGCAGCTACACTCATCGCACAAAAGGGGTGCCAACGATAACGACAAAGGAGGGACCACTTGAAAGGAGAACGACTCCGCTCTCGAAACTTGACGTGGATGACTCCTCGTCGCCGCCACTCGTCTCGACAGCGGAGACCGCCTCGGGACGGTTGCAACTTCTACCGCGCGCGCGTTGCCGCTTTCCACTTCGAACGTAGCACTGCACAAACTTCGGGTCGACATTTCCGTGCGACTGTCCGAGACACCCCTGATCGAGTTGCAGATACAATAGAGACATCACAATGTTTCGGACAAGGTCCCAACTTCTCTGAAACTCTCGTCTAGCAGTTTCGCTTCTCCTTGACCAGCCAGCCCACTCACTCTCCCTATCCCTCCCTGAATAAAGGATTCCAATGTGCCCGCGCCTCGGTCGACAGATCGAGGCAGAACTTCCCCTGAGTCGCGTACTTCGGTCAGCGACCCAAATCAGGAGACGACTCCGCTGATCATCAATACGGTGACATCTCCCCTTACGTCAATCAGAAACTCAATTCCAATCATTTCTCTGTCGGATCGATGACAACGCGATTTCGCTTTTTGTAGTAGACCGATTGTGGAGCTCGAATTTCAATTCAGCGTAATGATCATGACTCCGTCGACGGGAAGGGCAATGCTCAGCAGGATTCCGAGGCTTCCGCTTCCGGGGGAAAATCCAGCGGGCGAAATAGAACAGGCCCATGACCCCACGAACTGATATTCGCCGTCCGTCTCAGGAATTTCCTCGAGCTTGTCTCCCGACGGAGACATACTTTCCCTAAGAGTCCCATATGTCGTAGTTTTTTCCGAAATGCGATTAATTGTGGGAGGAACTCACGGCTCTGACGCCGCTGCAAAGTTGGTCGGATGACCGCGTACGCCAGACGCACTGGAGCAGCACCGGGAGCCCTCCGAAGGATGAGATTATGACATCGTGGTGAGCGAACACAGAAGAAATTCCCCCTGCTCCCAACAACGTTGCAGGCGACTGAGGGAGCCAGAGACCAGTGAGCCTTATCACTAGGTATCTCATGACGCTGAATAGGCGCAGTGGTCCGCAGAGATACGAGGAGATAGCGACAGACTACCCAATCCGTTGGATTGATTGAGACCACTGCTCTAACGTCGACGGCTGGATACTCTTCCCTTGCGGCTTTCATCGCTATGAGATTGAATGGGACGTGGCAAACTTGTATGCAACAACGATGATCGCCTGTATCCGATCTTGTCAGCTCCAGCTCCCTTATAGGCGGAAAAAATACGCGATACATCTAACACTTCGTCAGGGGCGGTAGATTGCTGGAAACTTTCGCCACCACTCGCTCGTGTTGCCATGTTCGGCGGAGAGGCTCAACGAAACAGGACATTCTGCCCCTGCGTTCATTGCGTTTCATCTCCAGTACCATGCTGCTCCCGTTGTTGGGAACATCATCGTCGGAGGCCCCGTTTGGCGGAAGTTCACTCGGCGGAGAATCCCTGGCGTTAGTCTCTCGGAGTAGAATTTCGTGACTTCAACATATCATTTATTTACATCTGAACGTCTACTGCGAGGAACCCCCGTTCAGTAGTGTCCGTAGGCTCCGTGACCGTAAGCAAGACCGTGTCCGTAAGCGGGAGCGGCGTGGACAACGGGGGCAGCAACCTTGGCGACGACGGGGGCGGCGTGCACGACGGGGGCGACGTGCTTGGTGACAGTGGAGTAAGAGGAAACGATGGGCGCGTGGGCCTTAGCGATGACGGGGGCGGCGTAACCGTGTCCGAGGACCGGGGCAGCGGCATAACCGTGGCCGTAAGAGAGAGCCGGAGCGGCAGCGATTCCGTGGCCGTATCCGATGGCGGGAGCGGCCGCGACTCCGTGGCCGTATCCGATGGCGGGAGCGGCAGCGATTCCGTAGCCGTGGCCTACAGCGAGGCCTCCGGCATTGGCGGCGGCGACGAGAGCGGCGAAGGCGATGGCCTGCCGAGGAAGGGGAACTACTTGATTCGGAGTTCAGAGAAGTCGATGGAAAAAGTTCTGGTTTGTCTCCTTGAACGAATCGAGCGGGGAAGAAGTTACTCACGGCGATCATGGCTCCTTTTCGGGTTCACTGATCGATTCTGCACTCGATCGGGTATTTATACAGAATTTGAGAAAGGGTAAGCGGAAAAATCTCCTCTTATGGACGTATAGTTTCCGGTAGGTTTATCACAACCACAACGTCATTCGAAAGTTTTGCAATTATTTGTGCATTAATTCCTCACAGAGTCGAATCGCCCCGAGGCTTTTCCGCCCCACAGAAACAATCCTCGCTGCCATCGATCGGCGCGACTGCCCTAATGAAGCTAATTAGGAGTGTGTGAGACTTCTTCTGTTTTGAGGCAATCATCATGAGAGACCGAATCGACCTGCGCGGGTTGTTTGTAGAAGAGTGTGATGTCCGCGGAAGACATAACTGAAGGGAGTCAAGTGGCGACTTGTGATACGACGGCTACACATTCGAGTAGATTCGAGATTCCTGCAGCGTTACCAATTTCGACCGACCCGACCCCTTGAGAATCAATGTGCTCTAGCTCAGGGTCCGGGAGAAGGTACCGAGAAGTTTCCGAGTCTTGCCAAGCCCTACCGAGATAACTCAGACGAATCAACCCATTCAAAGAGGGGGGGGGCGTGAATATCATCGATGCTCTCGTCCAGCTATATTAGATTACCGATATTCTGGATCGCTTTAATTTGAGCCTTCGGAACCCTGTGTTAACGAGGAACGTTTTCGACATTTTGTCAGGGAATAATTTCTCAGACGAACGCAGTCCATGCACCTCGGTCGACGAACAATGGGACGAGGATGTTTCTGTTTGAGGAACAGTTGTTCCAAGCAGGAAACGATTTTCCGGCCAGGAGTCGCGGACTTTCTGGTTGAATTCCGCTTCCTGTTAAAAGAATATTGGGCTGACCGTTCTGTGCGATTGATACCCGAGCTTTCTGACCTTCTGCCCGTGATAGTTGAGCGTTTTCTTCTGGTTATCGACTGGGATGCGCAAGGGCTAGATCGATCTTCTGTATTTCGGTTCAAGAATCAAAACCATCCCATTTTTCGCATCTTTCTCCGAGATACGGGGGATCGTGATTCCGTTTCGTCCCGTCATCTCCGGACTACGGAGAACGACTCCTATGTTTACCTCGAGGGAAGCTCGACTTAACTCGCCGGGACGAGTAACTCGGACCTTCCCCAAGGTATCGCTTTGGCAGAGCTAGTTTCGTGCACTTATGGTATGAATTCCAGGCGGAATGATGCTGGAACGGACTGTTTTTCGATGAATATCCGTCCGGAGGGAGCCTTTCCAGACTTTTTTCGACCAAATCATCCAGGCGACGACTCAGTCGCTCGCTGCGAGTGATTAGAGACATCAATGCTATACCGCTACATGGTATGCCTCCACGGGCGCGGGCGTCTCGGACGTACCCATATCAACGTATGCGAGCATTTTTCCGATACGAATCGAGTATACACAGGCCGGAAGTGCGAAAACTCTGATCCGAGGGCCGATGTTTCAGAGAAGATCGTGATGCGTGGACTCGGACATTCATTCCTGAGGGCCGGAGAGTGATCTTGCCCTGCATTGAAGTTATTTGCCCTGGAGTCTGCATTCGCGTTCCTCGACTGATTAAGCTGCAAGGCAAGGTCACCTTTGAAGTCTGGCACCTCATAAGAGTTCGGGAAGCTTCCATTGACTGCAATGGGAATGAATTGTCTCGCAAAGAGAGGACTCGCACTGAAAAGAGTCTCTAGCCCCACGACATGCTCCTCGTGGAGTAAAGCGCTGAGTGATCCGAGTTTCTCCTCGATCATCGGCCCCACGCATGGGGTCAGCTGGGACAATCGGCAACCATATCCTTGCTTCGATTCGAGGGAGAAATATTTTGTCAGATGATTTTATTTACAAAAAATCTCTTTGGTGTGTTTAATAGTGTCCGTAAGCTCCGTGGCCATATCCGAGACCGTGTCCGTAGGCGACCGGAGCGGCGTGGACAACGGGAGCGGCGACCTTAGCTACAACAGGGGCGGCGTGGACGACAGGGGCAACGTGCTTGGTGACAGTGGAGTACGAGGAAACGATAGGCGCGTGAGCCTTCGCGATGACGGGAGCGGCGTAAGCGTGGCCGTATCCGTGTCCGAGAACGGGGGCGGCGGCGATTCCATGCCCGTAGGCGTGACCGTATCCGATGGCGGGAGCGGCACCGTATCCGATGGCCGGGGCGGCACCGTATCCGTATCCGAGAGCACCAGCCTGGGCGGCGGCGACGAGGGCGGCGAAAGCAAGAGCCTGTTCAGAGAGGAGAATTAGACCACCTTCCCGAAACGTCCGAAGCGGTATCTGTTCGAGTCCAAGACGAGTCATATACTCACGGCGAACATTGTCTCAGATGGGAATTGTCTGGGTACTTTTGGAGGCGCTCCGTAAGATTTATACAAACTGTGAGAGAGGGTAAGATTGCGACTGGAAGGATCACCGACTTCTGCTCGAATTCTCCCTTGACAGAAAAACGGGACGAGTCTTGCTCTTTCGTATTGTTCACAGAGGCTTAACCTCAAGACCCAGTTGAAGACCTCACTTTCGGGGACACCTGCTCCGAGGTTGAACTCCTCGCGACAATATGCGACTATGGCTTCCGACTGTGGGGTTTGCGCTAAAAACGAGGAATAGAAAGAAGGAACAGATGAAAAGAGCTCCGTAATTATGACTGGCTGGGCAGACAGTTTCATCGCGTGGAGAACGAAACTTCCGAGCAAAGCGGGCTTCTTTTCTCCTTCGTTCGGCTTCAGCTTAGGAGGAGTTCATTTGCAGCGGAGGCGGTTTACCTAAGCCAGACTTCTCATTAGGTACGCCGCAGCGCGTTCGCTCGATCTCCTCCCGCGAAGAATCCTCATCTTTGGAATCGTTCCCGGACGCATTATATGCATACGCGCATACGTTTTCGGAGAGCGATTCCAAGTGAATTAGTTTCGAATCATGAGCGAGGATTCTCGAGAGATTCACTAATAACTATCTGACGATGCGCCGCCCTTTGATCGCAAACCGCGAGTCAGAGACTTCCAAGGCAGATGGAATTCCATGTAATCGGTTTGATTCTGACAACGAAGAGGAGAAGTTTTCAATGAAGTCAGATTCAGCTCTTTCGCTAATCGGATACGAGAGGAGAAGTACCTATTCTATGGATGCCTTCTCCCGAGATCAGAGATCTGATGAAGATGATCCGAAGCTGATGCCTGGATCCGACGCTTGCGCCAAGCAGACAAACGCTGATGAACCGGTCGATTGTGATAATTTTGAGTGGAAATTCTCGTTCCTCGGGGCCGTCATCGGGCATTCAGAAAATCAAGAGACGTTGTCCTTCAATTATTATTATTCCCCCGAAATCGGACCGTGACATTATATTGACTCTAGCCGTCAAAGCTTGACAGAAATCCTAGTGATGCCCGTCGATCGGCAGCGTTTCAGATGCGAGCCGTAAGTGATTATTTCAGAGAGTTGTGACTCCTTCCTCGTGTAAGGCATCACCCGCAAGGGCACGGGCGTGTTACATAGTAGAGAGAAAACTTGAGTCCATTAACTTCTCTTCCCGCATGGGATTCATAAATTGAGGTAATTACCATCCAGTTCAGAAAATGCCGGAACTTCTGGTAGGGGAGAACTTCGGAAGCGCTATTAACTGTGTTTGTGCGCACAACGTTTTTTTGTTACCCCACAACCGGCTCTTTACAACTTCCTGATGGAGCGCTTAGGATGATGACACAGATGACGCTGGACGTGTCACAATCGACGAAAATGACTTGTATTTTTTCTCTTTTTTTCTGGCTCTGTTCCCCCAAAGTTTCTCAACTCTTTCAAACGACAGAAGAACAGCTGAGCATGGGTATGAAGACACGCTTTCCATGCTGGTTTCTGGTCGGAGCTGGGATTTCGACGTGCGCTCCGCCTTGTCCAGGGGAGAGCGTCTGATCGTTTACGAGGATTCGACCGCTCTCTAGACAAGCATCGAGCTGAGAACGCCTGGCGCCTGGATCGTTTTTGAGCTCCTCGATAGGTTGAAGCGAACTCCCCCCGATTAAAAATCACGAAGCGCCGGGCGATTCTCCATTGGACTGCTGTCTGAAGTCGAAGCCTTGGATATTCTCGAAACCGCGCAGACTGAACGCATCTACGAGGCAGCGATCGTAGTGGCCGCTGCCCGATGCCTCACGGTGACCGTTCACGGGACCGGCGACAAGGACAGTGGCATTAAAGACGACGACGACGACAGAAATAAGCAAGGCGTGTTTGATATCGACGGAATCTGACCAGAATTTCCGCAGATAATTCCGCTGCATACCTAATTACATTCACACTTCTCTTTTGCGAAATCCTTCGTATGCAGCCTGATAAGCCTTCGTATGCAGACTGATGCCGCAGAGCGCGTGAAACTCGACTCTCGGAGTACCTTCCGGGGAATCGAGCAGGAAGGAGTATGCGCTTCGCTTATAGCGATATCAACGAAGCGGGCAACTCGCAGATTTCCCGATAACGAAACTCGATGGAAAGTACAATCGATTGTTGATCGAACTCCCTGAAATACCAGGACGACACACGCAAGGCCTCGGAATTATTCATCTCATACAGAACGAATTCGGTGGTGTTTTGGAACCTCGACTGAGAATCACCAGAATTTAGAGAATGCTCCCGCGTGCGAATTCCTCTTCCGTTCTTCGCTCCGTTCGGTTCCACCGCGAGAGGACTCTGATCACTTCGATGCGGAAGCCGGCGCCGGAGTTCCGTTGGGCGACCCTGAGCCGTCGACTCCTTTCGCTCGGGGATTGTTGAATTTATTTTCTATGATGAATGATTGCTTGATGAATGATTGAGACTCTTTGCATTGATGATGAAGTCTCTACGCTCGAGACGTCGGCAATTAAGCTGCAGACCCCCGGTTCTGACGTGTCGGGAATGATCCGTCCCCAAAGATCGAAAATCGAGATGTATGTGCGCATCTGTTTATATTTTCCCACGATTTTTGAAGGTACCGGACTCGTGAGAGGAGAGCTACCCTTTGGAAATCCGAAGATATTTTTCTCGATCTGTTATACGGGTTTCCGTGGAGAAGAGCCGGCCGCAGAGTCCGGATACCCGCACAATACAACAGCGTCCATATGGTACTTGCGAATTTGGGCATATATGGAATTGGAGCCTTCGCGCTGCGAGCAGTCGCCTGTCCGTCGGATGTTCCCGGGGCGAGAACCGTCCATTCGATCCGTCGGAGTTTTCTGTGAGCGAGGTTTGCCTGTTGGGCCCCGAAATCTACCACGAGCTGCACTTCTCTTATCCGTCGCGATCGGAGAATAAATCGAAAAGTTCGATCACAATCTTCAAGTTCATCTACTCCTGTTGGCGTTTCCGTCCAGTGCACGAAATGTCCAGAATCACTGCGTGAGAGGTGAGCGTTTCGGAGTGGTAAAGCGACTCGGACAGCGCGCCGTCTTTGAGCGGGCAAGCCACACAACGTCATAAGGGACGAAGTTCTGTCCTCCTCCCCACTTGGTATAAATATCCAGCATCACTGCTCCACGGTACAACTCAAGTCGATCCTGATCAAAATGATTGCCGTGAGTACGACTGCCCCGAATGCCGTAGAATTCTCGAGTTCATTATTTGAGGTTCTGACGACTCCTCCTCTCCGATAGGCTCTTGCTTTCGCCGCTCTCGTCGCTGCCGCTCAGGCCGGAGCTGTTGGCTACGGATACGGTGCCGCCCCAGCCATCGGATACGCCGCTGCTCCCGCTATCGGATACGGACACGCTTACGGTCACGGAATCGCCGCCGCTCCCGTCCTCGGACACGGATATGGCCACGCTTACGCTGCCCCCGTCATCGCTAAGGCTCACGCTCCCATCGTTTCCTCCTACTCCACCGTCACCAAGCACGTTGCCCCCGTCGTCCACGCCGCCCCCGTCGTTGCCAAGGTTGCTGCTCCCGTTGTCCACGCCGCCCCCGTTGCCTACGGCCATGGTCTCGCATACGGTCACGGAGCTTACGGACACTACTAGATTTCTGCGAGAGGAAGAGACATTCTAGTGTTGTAAATAAAGACATCCGTTGAAGTCCTCACTCTGATTCACTACATGGAATTTGACAAACGATGTATCCGTAGTCGAAAAAGCAGCGGGATCTTTACGGGATCCTATCCATGGATTAATCGTCATTAGAGCCCTGGCAATCGAGCTGGTTTCTGTGAAGCTTCAAGAGTGACTGTGGCTGGCGAACGCGGAACGAGGAAGGAGACTAGGCATCTCACTCCACGGGACGGTCTCACAACGCAGCGTCGGAGTAGCCGAAACGGCACCAGCCGCAGCAGCAGCAGCCTGAGGATCTCGATCTAATCCCGGTTGATGTATTGCGGATTATCTTGGCTTTTGCAGGAAATTCATCTTTTCATGTTGCCTCCTTCCCTCTCGCTGGCGGTCGCCCTCCTCGTCGCCATCTCTCGGTTCTTCTTCTCCCGGTCCATCCTCTGAACGGAAGCACGAGGAGGGCGATTTGAATTCACGCCAGGGCCCAGACGGAGCGACAGCATCGAGTCTCCGTAAGAATTTGCATCCGAGGTGCGCGTGAGCTCCTTCCGCGACGCCGACGTCCAAAAGACTTCTTTATTCCTGGCCGGCTCGCCGGGTCTTCTTTGCAAGCCGCTAGCAGCTATCTCATGAATGAATGAATAAACGCACTGAGCTATACCCTGGGGTGGAATCAAGTATGCGGACGTCCAGACGGGGTGTTCGATCAGGGATTTAAGTGCTGTCAAGATTTTGACGATCTGTTCAACATGGATCGGAAGTACATGTAGCCTCCTCCTCAAACCGATGGCGGGCTCCCGTCAGGAGGTTTTCCGCCGCTTTCGGGTGCTAGCGTTCATATATTTCGTTGTACGTCCGTTCGAGAGATTCTTTTTAGAATTGTTTCCTCTCCTCAATTTATTATTCCAGGAAGAGTAAAATAAAGAAGGAGAATAGCTTGGGACTCGGGGAAGTCTCTCTCGTGCAGACCTTGCCTTCGTTGTTCGAGCCGCTTCAGAGCTGGAGTCGTTATTAACCCCGGTCTTTTGTCGAAAATCTCGACCGCTGCCGGCGTCAGGCGGATTATCGTCTCCCGGAGAGTAAGGGAAAGCCCCAAACCATGAAACTCGAGAGTGGAACCTCGGACGACATCATGGCGCCACATGGACCGCTTACTGCCAGACAAATGGTTACTCCCTCCTGAATGTCGTAACCCGACCATCCCCGACATTCACCGACGAGATGCTCGAGTGCTTATTGTGTCATTTCATGTGCACATCGTACAACCCTCTCCGAGACTCCAATCCGGGAGACGACGTTTCGGGAGTAAAGGTTGCACTTCCGGCGCGGGGCTCCGAATTCAGGAGCGGGTCGAAGTTCCTGCAATAAAATCCAAACCTGGGGCTCACAGCGGGACGCTTATTCAGGCCTTTTCGGATGAGTCTGGGCGGTGAACTCAGCGCGATAAGTTTCGAGGTATTGAGGCAGGCCGCCAAGCCCCCGGAGGAGCGCCCCAGAGTCTTCTTTGCATTTGTCGCCAAAATCCCTCTCATCCGCGGAGCTACATCGTGATCTCCAGCTCCCTCAGGCAATGACGGAAAGCTGTTCCGAACCCTCACGATACCGGGAATTCCGTCGCTCGCCCATCGTACCTCATTATCCCAGAAAGTTTAGTTGAGATGGGCGATCTGAATTTTCGGAAAATGTTGTAGATTTCGAGGACGATAGTTCAAGTTAGTTTCATAGCTCAAGTTCCCTCGCGGGAGATCCCCATTTCGAAATTCGGTTCAGGAGAACTGATCTTCCGGCTTCTAGTTCGTAATCATCCACATCAATGTCAGCGTCGCAGGCAGCGTTTGACAAGAGGTATTGTCGTGCAAATCCGAAGGGAGGAGCCGAGCATCAGCTCCTTATCTCAAAGCCTCCAGAGAAGTTTGTAGTGAATTTCCTGTTTGCAGCTTTCTCCGCCTCTCCCGGTCTTTCCGTGTCTTCTTCATACGCGTGTCGGTGTCTCTCTCCGGCTCTCCCTCCGGCCGCGGCACAAAGAGCTTCGCGTGGAACCGTGACGACGACGGCACGAGTGGAAACCTCTGCTCGCTGAGCTCATTATAAATCAGTTCCAATACGGCGCTCGTTTCCGCTGCTGCTTCTTTCGGCAGGCAGGCAGCAAGCAAGCAAGCTAGCCAGTCAGTCTGTCAGTCGGCGTCTCCGCCGCCTGTGTCACGTGCAGTGCACGACCGAGCTTTGACAGATCTTCCGGTTTACAACAGAAGTCAGGATTTCCGGCGAACAGGAGGCGGACGAGAAAAGCCTTCATTGAAAAGATGGAGCTCACACTGAAGCTTTCGACATGTCGCGACCGTCTGTCTGCGCGGCCCGAAGACATCGGCACGGCGTCTACCGTCAGGAACGTGTAGTTGCCTACTCGTCCTGCCCGTGGACAAGGACTTCATTCGGGCTGGGCAGGGGTACGTACCTGCGTTCGAACGAAGAGAGCGCTTTCGTCTGGCGCTGCGTCGTGCTCTCAAGTGTGAATCCGAGGATTAGGAATCCAGCCGATAAAAACTCGTTCGGATCTCTCACACTAATTTTGATCGATGACTCGTAATGAACTGAGTCAAAGGATCTCGGATTAACCTTCTCAGCGAGTCTTGTCGCCGGCCCGGACGCACTCAAAAATGAAGAAATATTAATCATTCCGCGACGACGTTTCCATCAGTGTTTTTATGCGCCATAGCATGAGGTCGAACTGAGAAATCTACGCAGCCTCCCTCTCTTCGTCGAGCGAACCTATTTTTGCCTCGAGTGGAGTCTGCGCGAGGCGAACTGCATATTCTTCTAATTTCATGAGAGAGTTCACATTCTCCCTGGAAGCATTAGCTCGAAACGTTCCACAAAACCTCTGACGCGCGGAATACTAGATCGGAGACTTCACGAAAGTGGAAGAGCTTTCACACAAACAGTCCCCTCTTTAGCGACACGACGTCGCGTCGTCCCCTGAAACAATTTGTGTTCAGCCGTCCATTGCTCGCTCCCTGTCTCAGATTAGAGTGGAGTCTCCTGCGAATCGTTTTGGAAGCCATGTCTTAGCTGATATTCTCCAGCTCTATTGAGTTTCTTTGCTTCTTCTGACGAGGATACTCAAGCCCAAAAGATCTCTGCATTCCGCCCGGAGCGGCCTACAAGGGAGCACGAGGAGGAGCGGGACTTCAACGTAAATCCAGCCTCAGAAAGGAATCCTCGAGAAAGGGAAGGAAACGAGGAAACGGGAGACACGAAGAGGCTCGCCTAATCCCGACTGTGTTCTCGCTCACTAGCCAGCTGCATGGAAACGCTCCCATGCTCGTAGCCGGGATAATGCCGTAAAGCCATAATCGTATTCTCTATCCCAGCGGTCTTCAACTCCGCGGGTTCCCGGCGCTCTACCAAGCTCATCGCGGTCTATCGGTTTCTTCCGAATGAACGGGTGCCGACCTCGTCTGGTTCGCGCTGTTCCGAGCTTTTTGATTCGAATTCATTCCGCATTCAGATTTTTGCGCTGCCTGGACGCTCTGGAATCAAACAATCCGTTCCAGGGACATACCGATGAGAACTCGTCAATAGATTCGCGAGCCCCCGTCAGCCGGGATCAAGTCCTTCAGGAGAGCGGAGAAGGGAGAGGGAATCGTTTATCGCACATTTTCGAGCCGAGTATCCGAGGAAACGTCGTGGTCTCTGAGGAGCTCTTCCTCTAGATCCGCTTAAGTGGAACAGCTCGTATTTGAAACCGCTCGGCAGAATCCGGGAATACGTTGTATCGTTTCCGAGCGGAGACCCGCATTTTCATAGTTCGGATATATTATCAATAGCCGTCGCGTTCCTCCCGCCGTCGAGCATCATCAAGCCGACCGGAGTCGATCAGCTCTCCTCATGCGTCAGGAGTCGCGGCGGAATAGGCATTCTCTCCCGTATCCTTGATGAAGCCGAAAATATTGGGCCACGCAACGGTGATTCCGTCAGAATGCGGGGTGCGAAACTTTGTTCATATCCGACTATCGAAGCCGATGTCTTCGGGGCTTGCTTTCAAAGAGCATCATCGTTGATGGGAAGATAATGAGAGACATTGTAGCTCACAGGTCGTACGGGCGAAGTCAGACCGCAAAGACGGCGGAGTTCCTCAGCTGACGACTCTTGATGAACTCTTTTGTCGGAGGAGTTCGTATCATCTACCTCCACCGTCGATGATGCGGCGAGCCGCTCTCGTCACCGCTGCCGCCGTCGTTCTCCTTGATAAGCATCCACCTCACCCGAGACTAGCGATCGCGAGCAAGCGGCGTATGGTTACTCTCCGCGTCCCGAGATGCTCCGGAAGAAAGCAACCTCGCAACCAACTATTTTATACCCGACGACGCAGCTAAGACAGAGCCTCATACTTCCTTTCGCCTGTGAGCCCATCCATCCGATGAGGGGCGCATCATCGAGGTGATATGAGCTCGACCGACATCGACATCATAGGCCCGCCAGAATGTTCCTCGTGATATTCGGATACTCGCTCGATGGGGATTTCCATCAGCTCAATCGGGGAACAAACATATCTGAAGAAGCTCCGCATCACAAGGTATATTCCGATATATAATAAGTCGTCGTCATTATCTTGAGTGAAAACACACACACTCGACTCCTCACGGCTCATTCGTGTACATCGACTCCGGCGGTCAAGAAGGCTCATTGCCCGAAACGTCTACGCCTACATTGTTGGTGATGCTTCGGTCGCGATGCATCGTCGTTAATCAGGGTGTCATCGACAGAAGCCAACTAGCCGAGCGGATGGCCGGACGGACGCGCGCGCAGCCAACAAGCCAGTCGCTTTAGGCAGGCAGGCGGAGGTCATCGTCATAACGATGTACTTATGACGACAGCCCCAGGGAGCAAGGTGCCTCCTACAGCAAGCCATAATCAGAATCAGCGTCTCCTTCCTGCTTTTTGTCATTGCCCCGCCGTTTCCCCTCTTTTACATACCCCGATCCTCTTGTCTGTCCTCTCGTCCGCCACCCTTCCCTGTCAGCGTCCA